CTTCCTGTAAGCTGAGACTTCTTGTGGGCGATCCAGTTGCTAAGTAAAGACCCTTTTGAACCATATTCTTGGCGCTAAGTATCACGAATCCATTGCATTGTATTGATTACTTATGGTAAATTAAACGTTACACTTGAACCTGTTGTTCAAGAGTGAGATATTTGAACACAAGTTTAACGGATGGTTACCTTCGACTACCGATGATCCTGTTTGAATTAGGGATCAAGTGAAATGTTAATATTTGACAGCTTTAATACTGTCTGTAGTTTGCGCGGGTAGTACACATTTAAATAAAACACTTTAACGGTTAAAACGCTACATACCTTATTTGAAAATTATTCGTTAATACGTATGTAGGCTTAACCCGAAACGCGATTAAACTTCATGGTTTATCTGTCGACGATGGGAATTTCGATCTTTCGAAGTCCGACATGTTTAAGAAACAAACATTGTTTAGAAACGCTATTCAATAACAATCTAACCTACAACCGCGGTTAGCACATCGCTATCATTAGACCAACGAGCCTGAGAAACAAGTAAGCTTGATGCTTATCTGTCTTTCTCTGCTAGAAAAAATAATTCCTGAAGCAAAATACAATGATCATTTAAAATATTAACAATGTAAACGCAGTGAAGAAACGCATTCAACAAATACAATGTGTGACATTGCAATATAAACTTGCTTTTGTGCTGCCGGAAGTTGTCATTGTAAATGCAGACAAAATGTTATCTTACTGTGACGTAGGTACTTCCTTTGATACCAATAAAAATTTAAAGTTGTACTAATTTCCTATATGTGACGATCATAGAGATAGCTAGCAAACATAAATTTATTTAACACATGTCTGTAGTTCGCGCGAGTAGTACTTACACAATTAAATAAAATACTTTTGACGATTTAAAAGGCGAAGTAATTCAACTTTATTATTTTGATCTATATTTAAATAAAACACTTTAACGGTTTAAAACGCGATTTAGCTAAACTTATTTGAAAATTAATTTTAACTACGGCCCGACGTTTCGGGTGCTTTGCAGCAGCCGTGGTCACGGGGAGACAGTCTCCCTTAAAATCATTTTCAAATAAGTTTAACTAATATATCGCGTTTTAAACCGTTAAAGTGTTTTATTTAAATGCGTACTACTCGCGTAAACTATAGACAGTATTTTGATCTATATTTTGGGTCAATAAGCTTACGCATAACCGTATACTTTCTATAATGATATATTTATTAATCAACATTAATTTATGTTAGTCTTAAAATATCGTTTAAAAAGTATTTATGTTTAAAAGACTAGTTAACTGTCGAGTTTGTTGATACTGTGGTATCAAATCATTGCTAATAATCACAGTCATGGATTCAATCCCCACTTTGTCTAACGTGTTTGTAATACATTTATAATCCAAAGCCAAAATAGGCCAAAAGCGCATTGTATTAGATGTTACATGGCTAAGGTATTTCACCTTCTATCAAGTGAATTCAATGCTTCTCTTATACTCTTCTATCATGGAAAAAGCTCTAGAAAAGGGTTTTCTATGAAAAAAGAGGCGTTAAAACTTTGACTTGTCTGTCTGTGCGTATTTTGTGTCTTGCTTTCTTCCTCTTGGATTATAGTTAACGTACGGGTAGAGCCACACAATACTTTTTACATCTTAAAATAACGAAGGATTTGTGTAGTTATATTACATAATTTAGCGTTGGGTTAGTGATTTATTTAACCAATAAGTATAAGCAATGATAGATTTTAATGTTCCAATAAGCATACCTTACAAATTATGAATATCATTCCTCTATTTCTATCTGTAGGGCTTTTGTTATATAAACCACTAGTTGAGCCAGCGACTTCGTACGCTTCGAATACTTATTTAAGTTATCAATGTTTGTTTTTGCGAACCTCCTGTACAACTCTATAAATTTAAGCTATTAGACACACTGTCGCAGACTTTTTTTTAGATCATTTAATGATAAATCATTAATTACAGTAATACATATTTTTTTGGGTATCTCGAACCGTTGTCGCGGCGTAGGTACGCAATGGCAACGTACAAGGATAAATAATTCTCTCAATTTTTTCAACATTTCCTGTTGTTTCCTCGCTCATATTAGTCACAGCGATATATTTTATAGCAAGCAAGAATCTTTCAATTTGAACCTGTAGTTCTTGAGATTAGTCCGTTCAAACATACAAATTAACAAACAATTTCTTCAGCTTTATATATATAAATAGATGTATTATTCGATAGGGGCAAGATGTATCAAGCGATGGTGCCGCATCCATCACGCTGAACGTCAAAACTAATACGAATTCGCTCCCGTGAGAATTTTCCAATCCAGATCGTAATTATGCGATTCAAACGTCACTGGATTAAAATGGACAGCCGATGGGGGATCTATAAGTATATTAACGTCGATACTATCTGTTAATTGTTTGTTTGGATATCATTATCGCCGTGGAAGGGGTGAAAGTTCGTGGATATCGATTCTCTAAACGCTAGAGTAAGCTATACCCGCTGGTAATGAAGTCACAAAAGCTTCGTTTGAGCCACATAATTATTCTGATATCGAAGGGAAAACATGATTTAGGATATACTTACCTAGTCCTATTTGAAAACTTTAATATTTTTCACATTACCAATCTAAAATCGATTTTAATTTAAATAATGCCACCATACAATGCAACCTTTGAGAATTATTAGTTTTCAAAGATTAGACTCTGTAATTTCTTCAATTGATTTCTTAGCTGCAAAGCAAAGTACACAAGAATTTTGAAATTACTTTGCGCATGAGGTGTATTTATTTATATATACAATAGGATGGAATTCGGCAATGAATAAATCTTTTTAACAGACAAAAATCTGTACGAAGAAATTTACATCTACAAAGTTTAAAATGCTTTTCGTGGTGTCTTCCGTGCCTATAGCTGCTGAAAATCGGTTGAAACGTGCGCGTGGTAGATAAACATTAATTAGAAAATATATTTTGCATTTCGAACCGTTAAAAGTGTTTAAAGTTTTGCGTGATTACGTAATATTGTGGTTTTAATGTTACAACGTAATAATATTTATCAATTTATTTCAATAGTGCTTTGTCTATCATAAGATAAGCTAACGAGGTTTAATAACAAACTGTATGTGGACAATTCATGCTTTGATTAAGTTAATTCAAATATTTATCTGTTATGTTTAATAGGAATATCAAACACAATATTATTATAACATCACAGACAAAGAGATATTTACTCATAAGTACAATTCCATACCAAAAGCATACTAATTTCCAAAAGTGAGACATTAAAAGGACTATCGACTATTTTGTTCTAACAAGATTTAAACCTATTAAGATTTCAGAAATTAAATGAAGTGGATGGGATTCGAACCCTACTACAGCGTTCAATTTAATAATATATTTTCTTTAGTTTGAGCGTTAATTATCATGAAAAAGCAATGATTCAAGATATATAGATACATATCTTTGAAAGTATATTTTTATCAATTAAGATAAATTTACGTTATTTATATGTATAATATCTATTTCTTCGTGAATCTAACGTTTTAGTACTCATAAGAATAGGTAATCAGAACTTTTGTGTAACATTAAAACTAAATTCATCTTTGCTTTTTAGAAATTTATCTTATGTGAAATCCCGTTTTCCTCTCGTGGGACATGGGGCGAACACATTTTTGTGTCTGTTTCACTGAGCAGGCAATTAGTTGATCAGACCTCTGTGCCCTGTCCTGCCGAAACAGTTTTTGTTTCCTTGGGATTCGAACCTAGAACCTCGTGCTTAACGCAATGCTAGTTAATAATACGTTTAACCATTTGGCTACAAAGGCGGTCTTTGAGAAATTTATCTTAGAATGATGTGATTGCAGTTTACACCATTTATTAATTCATTGGTGTTATATTATTTTACATTTAAAAATTATAACTTAATCATGACATATTTTAAACTCTTGTAAGGGAACTTCGGGATGCCCTAATATCTATCAGAATTTTTCTTATAGGATTCACCTATAGGCCTTTTAAAAACTATTTAGAATCTGAATGTCAACCGAGTTTCTAGTACAATGGCAGTCGTGCCTATGATGTGAATAACTATGTTTACTTCTCATTATTGCTATCTCACAGAAAGAGTTTTAAAATAAGCAACTAAAATAATATAATACCAGCAAATTCAAGCCAAGGTGAAATTTTTAATGAATAAAAGACACTTTGAGTATAAAAAACGTCAGTATAATTTTATTATGTTTCAAGATACCTTTGTACACTTTTATACAAAACAATAATATTTATTAAGACTAATAATTACAATCCAAAAATTACATTTATTTTGAAATTTATAATTATTAATTCTAGTATCACGATTTAGCTTAGTAATATTAATTAATTTAAGCAAACGACCATCAATATAAACAATAACGCGAACATACTTTTATATACATTTAAATATTTTTATTTAGGATGTATTAAAGTAATTTAGCTTCGATAAAATAATATAATGATTAGCAACAATTTTAAGTATAATCACAATTACATCATAAAGACATCGGGAACTAAAATATGAACAAAAATCAAATAATAAAAAAAAACAGTAAGCCATAGATAAAAAATACATCTAAAACTTTTATTAATACGATATTAATCTTAATTACAAATACATTAAATGATTTGGTGTTCTTTTACAGTGAAGTTTATTGTGAGAAACATCTCACAAAGATCTCGTTCTCATTCTAGATAATTATATAGTCTATAGGCGTTAACTTTTAACAATACATAAAACGCCTCATAATAGATCTTGACTAGACCCAAATATCTTATCAGACTTGACATTTCCGTGTGGAATTTGTACAGTTCGAACTGCACCCTTTACGTACAATAAAAATTGACAAAAGTGTATGAAGCGGCGTATGTACAAGTGTAAATATCGTGTAAGGACAATAATTATATGAAAATAGTGCTCGATGACGTTAAATTAGCTGAAATATTCGAAATAAAGCGGAGTCAAACGAAGTAAGTGCGCCCTTTAGCAGCGTTCGATATCGAGCGGGGCACAGTGGGGGAAATATCTTCCACCCTGGAATAGACATGACCGCTACTAGGGGATTTCCTGAGGTCATAATTAAACCGAGGACACGTCCTGTTGTCGATCGACATGTAGCTATTGTTCGAATTGTTGCCTTCCCCATACACATCGGACGACGGAGAACTTTCATTGTGCGAAGAGTCGTCCTCGTTTCTCTTAGAGTATTGTAAAGAATTCGTGAAATTCTGCTTTGAGCAACTATCGTTTGAGACGGGCATTGTCGTGTACCTCAATGTTGGGGTCTTGCGTAATGACTTCTTAAATACGCTTTTCTCGGAACCTTTTACCGTTATAATGGTATCTGTCGAATTTAGCAACGCTACGAATTTATCCCAGAAGCGCGGGTCGCTCCACGATATATTCTTGAATTTATCCAACACAAAACCGAGCTCGTCGTTAATCTGATTGTTGTCGACTATTTTTATAAAAATAACTTTGTTTATTTCACTTCGGTTCAGTGATTTCAGATAGCTATAGAACATGTTTTTAAAATGAATATCGCACAAATCGTTACAGATGAAGTGCGTCGTCAAAACGATGAGAAGTCGCTTCGACAGCTTCGGGCATTTAGAAAAGCTATCTAAGGTCAAAATGTTCAAAGTGGATTCGTTCGGGGTGAGTTTTTTAGCTGACATCTTTCTAATCTCTATTTCCGTCATAATATTATGATGTACAAAACTAGTATCTTTGGTATTACATATCACATAATATTCGTACATGTGGTTGGAGTTCCCTTCTAATATGTGCTCTACATTAGGACACGTTTGTTCTTTGAAAAGGGGTACACCGTAATGAGTATATAACCAGTCGCTTACGTCATATCTGAACGCGTAGCAGATTGCACCGATTAAGGATATAAGGACAATTATGATTATTACGCCGCTAGCGATTGCGAAATAGCTGTCAGGAAGAAATAGAGACTTGGAGACGATTTCGTTTTTCAGAATACTGGGATCGCTTATAGAACCCATGTATTCCTTACAGTGACTAAGAACCGAGGCTATCGTAATTTTCGTAGGTTTCCCTTCACTGTCTGTGCATAACATTTTTTCAGGGTCTCCCGGGTCTCGTCGCAACCATGAGTCTAATTCCGCTATACTTTTGCAGTCGCAAGAATATCGATTGCCTTCAATTGAAACGTGAGCGATACCTTTAGAGGAGGAAGCTAATAGTTTCCAGGGGAAAAAGTTAACGAGTTTATTGTCGTCTATTTTAAGTACTGAAAGCGACTTTAACGAAGAAAATGTATTACTAGCTACGTGCTCGATAGCATTGTGGTCCAAATACAACTCATTTAAATTATTTAAATGCACGAATTCGTCCCCTTTTAGCTCCACTAATTTATTATTCTCTAAATGCAAAACTCTTAAAGAGTCTATTCCTTTAAATGTTTGGTTATTTACTTCCTTTAGTTCTGTGTTATTTAAATAAAGAACTTGCAATTTCTTTTTTCCTATGAAGACGTGGTTTCTTAAGTTTTCTATGTGGTTTCCGTCTAGATATATTTCTGTGGCATCCATAGGTATCCTGTCCGGTACTTGGGTGTAGCCGGCATTAGAACAATCGACTACGTTTGCATTCCACGTGATGTCGTGATAACACTTACAGTTGTTCGGACATATCATTTCACAATCGCAAGCTACAAAGTCACAACAATGGCAAAGGGCAAAACAATGGCTTTCATAAGGGCAGAGAAAGTCCGACGGTGACATGTCAATAATCACCTTTTTTTCTTTTGCCCGCGAATGTACTAAGGAACAAAAGGCTTTATCGAGATCTAACACACGTGGGTATTGTCGACTGTGACTTAAATAATTGATACGCTGAATCCATTCCATTGAACAGTCACATACAAATGGGTTTCCGCTTATAAAGAACTCGGGCAAGTCACTATCTTCATCTATTTGGTCCAACCTAAAAGCGTTCATGTCGAATTGTACGAGTTTGTTATTATTTAATGTCACCGTGGACAATTTCTGGAACTTTGAAAAGGATCCTACTTGAATATTCTGTATATTATTATCATTCAAATAAAGTTTTTCGATCGTTTTCGGTACTGACGTGGGTGTTATTTCACTTATATTATTGTAGCTTAAATCTAATAATTTAATATTCGTATTGGAAAACATGTCGTTGTTGAAGAAATCACTGATTGAATTCATGTGAAGATCTAACCACTCTAAACTGTTAGGGAAACTAGAAAAATCAAAAGACGATATTTTATTCGCTGAAATGTTCAACCACACTAGATTGTTGAGCGTATTAAAAATGCCGTCTATCTCGGAAATGTCGTTGCCATCCATGCGTAATAATTTTAAGTTGACGTTATTACGAAAACAGCCTTGAGCCACGTACTTTATTTTATTAGAGGCTAAATTAAGTACCTGTAACTGCGGCAAATGTTCAAAAGTATTTTCATTTAGACTCGTCACTTTATTATCGACGAGACGTAAGCCGAAAAGTTCCGTCAGACCGTGAAAGTTTTCCCGGTTCAAATGTGTTATATTGTTATTGCCAATATCCAAAGACCTCAAAGACCGAAGTTTACGAATTGACCCCGGTATCGACGATAGCATATTGTCGTTCAAACCCAAATCTTCGATTGTCGTCATATTATCAAATGCGTTTTCGTCTATCCGCCTTATTTTGTTATTGTCTAAAAACAATTCGTGTAACACATGCAAATCCGTAAACAAGTGAGTGTGGATGTGAAAAAGTTTATTGTGTGATAGAGTAAGTGAGTGTAAGTTTCGCAGCTCTTCGAAAGCGTGTTCATCGACAGATATTATTTCATTGTGTTCCAAGTTTAATTTTTGCAAACTGTACAAATCTTGGAACGTGTAGCGATCTATTTTGGTGAGCCGGTTGTACGATATATTTAAAATAACCATTCGCAATAAGCCTACAAATATACCCTTATTGATCCACTGACTAGTTAAATCGTTTCGAGACAAGTCTAATATTTGTAGCTGTTCCATTCCCCCAAACAAACCCGGTTGTAACACGTTGATAGTGTTGTTACTCAAATTGATTTCTTTTAAATATTTTGTGTCTGAAAAGATATCTATGGGAACGCTATTTAAATAATTGTTGGATAGATTAATGACTTCCAGGCTTACGAGGCCTTGAAATGCTTCATCTTCGATCGAAGATATCGCATTATTCTGAAGATATAATTTTGCTAAAGAGCGTAACTTAGACAAGCTATAATCCGACACAACAATGAAATCATTATAAGACATATCGAGTGTTTCTAACGCTAAATTACAACTTTTTACACTTAAATTTTGTTCATGCAAAGAGTCGGAGAAGCCGAGCGTTTTCATATTTTGCAAATGATTACTGCTGAAATTCAGCGTTTTCAAGCTGTACAGCGAGCAAAACGTCTCAGTTTTCGTACTCCATATGTTATTGTCACTTAAATCTAATTCGACCAACTCACTTAACCCGATAAACGCTTGTTCGTGTAACTCCATAGTCATAGCCGACCATTCACTGTTGTGCGTCGTCACGTGTAGACGTTTCAGGTCTTTGAAGTTCTCAAAGGCCCTCGCGGGGATCTGTCGTATCTTGCACTTGTCTACGATGAGGTTTCTCAGCTTGCCGAGGATGGAACTTTTCCCCGAAGACTTGTCCGCGTGAGCGGCGAGCGTACTCTCGAAGAATAGTATCTCGCTACACTGCACATGCAGTGATATCACGTCGTCCATGTACGTCTTGCTGATGTTCTGTAGCAAGCCGTCCAAACCGCTTATAGTCCGAATCTTGCAGAAGAGCACCGCATTTTCCGACGTCTCCCTTTCGGAGCTGCGGTAGGCGCACTCGTGCGGCATTTCGGACGCGCCGCTCTCCACCACATATCGATACAACAACACGTACACTATGAAGTAGTTGAAATTACGACGATCGAGTTTTTTCACAATAGTTTCTATTATTGGCATTTTACGTGAGTGCACTGGATACGAGGCATCGAGTTCTGCAGTGCCATTTATAATGGGGCGTAATTGTTCGCGTCATAAATATTCACACGGTAATAACATCGCGGGTCGCGTGGCATTACAGTTGGCTTCGCGTGTGCGATGGGCGAGCGATTCGTTTGACGGTTGCCCACCGACTGATCAGAGCGGCGCGTTTGTGGCTCCGCCCTGCGATGCCGGCCGCCCCGCGGCGCTCTGCGTCTGAAGAAACTTCATCCCGCGAGGCAATAGAGGGTGCATACGCCATCGCTGAATAAAACTCGAGCGGTATCGAACGCGTATCATAAACAAAACGAGATAAACTTCCGACGAGTTAAAAAGTTCCGCAACTTTATTATACAACAGTTTAATAGGAGCGGAGTAATTAATAAATATTGTGTAATAAATTTATTGGACGCTGGCGTGGTGCACTATTTGAGCGCTCTTAAAGTTTCACCTTTGAACATTATTTTAAGGTGCCGCGGAGGAAAAGTTTACCGGTGCTTACACATTTTCTCCGCACCACTTTGCGAGTGAAGAAATATAGCCCTTTGAATATGGAAATGCTTTTCGGGAGAATGTTAAAAAAAGGGACTAATATCTTGGCATTTCGAGCACCTGTTGTTTAGCAACTTTTGTTAACTTTTCACTTCGCGAAAATGAGATAAAAGCCTTACAAGATAGTTTCTAGGGCACCACATGCTTCTGAAGTTACGTGCGCTTCTATATGGAGATGAAAATCACTTGCTAACTTTTATTATACAGTTTGTTTTAAAAAGTGGAGTCTGTTGGGTACTTTTAACATTTTATCTTAACCTTATAAGTTGGAGCGTTTTATGCATATTTTAGTCTATGCTTTAATTTTAGGAAGTTTAAACGAAAAAAGAGCATGAGATAATTTTCTACTTACCGAATAGATTTTCACTATTGTTTAAAATATATTTATATAAATTTAAATATATCTTTTTCAGTGTTTAAAATACTACAAAATATAATATCTATATAGGTCCAATAACATTCTAGTCTACTCTAAGCAAATTATATAATAATTTTTCTGAAACATCGTGGTCTTCGCCAGACTTCGTCTGGAAATCTGGCTATTATACCTAATGGGTGGTTGGAATATTGAAATTCCGTCCAGGTCACGAACTACCCTTTCACAGTTGAAAAAGCAATAAAGTTCAGTCACGTTTAGATTTCACTTTGAGGAATAAAGCAAAATATTCCTCAAATTTCACCTTCCATCAACCCCATGCATATCTGTTGTCCTCTATCATAAAACAACAGCGTTCTCCCACCTTCTAATATACCATATACGATAGTTCAAGAAGCCCACAGTATACTTATTTGCATTGGCAACCGCTTATACATTTAAAGCGATAAATAGAATACCTCAGCGATAAGCCTCGCGCATCCTGGCATTCCTCTTAAGTTAGTACGTACTGGCCATGGTTCAGCACATGGCATTCAAATGAGTTTCCTTACAACACATTTCCATTTTGTCGCAACATCGTGATATATTTCGTTTACCATAAACCTGGAGCACATTCTTTAGGTTGCTGTGAAATTTTTGTTGCTTGATTTGTTGGAAGCCGTTCGTTCTAGCCGGGTTCACGACCTCTTTACACGCCTAAGAAGCTAATGTTTCGAGTAATTCACGAAACTTGAAGTAAGATTTGGTATCAAATTTATTGAAATAAAATACTTTAACGGTTCAAATCGGGATGTATATTTGTTATAAATATCAGCGTAGTCTCCAATTATTTCTATCCTCTTATTTAACGTGTACTACTCGCGTAAACTACAGTGTTGTACTGTAAACTATGCTATCAACTTAACATATGAAAAATCTATAGGACTTATATAGGGTTTGTAAGTTTCGAATGGAACTCGAACCTACGACCACAGTTGGACTCTTTTTAGCTGTAATGATGCTCCAACACGTATATATTGTTTAATGATATAGGAGGACAGACAAGCACGGGTTTCTCTGGAAAGGTGAAGTATCCAGCCTATAGCATCTAAACAAGATGGGCTGTCGACTTATTTTAGCCTTAATAATTCGAAATGAATATCCATCATAGTGGTATGTTGGGATACCGTATGCCTCTGTTGAAACAGTCAAATTGATTAATTGTGAAATGTAAGAAACACATGTTAAAAATAATCACCTCTCCCCCCTTATTTGTTTAATTATCATCAACGTGAAAAATTACGTGATCTGTCACTGAAATGACAACGTAAACCCGGCTTGATCTATTTGAAACGAGCTTAAATAAATCTTCTGGTCAATCTATTGACCTTATTACTTTGTAATAAAGTTCATAATTGCGTGCGAGTTAAAATTGTTGGGTCAAACGAAAATTGTCAATAGTTAAACAAACATAGTGTAAATTAGTTGGAAGACATTAACAATATGGAACGAACTAATCCTGTGTTTAGTCATTTTCAAGTGATAATCTTTGAATAACATCATTTGTTATTTGAATCCGCATGAGTGTTTTCAAAGGTGTCTTCCACAACCAAAAGCATTTTTCACTTAGGCTTATTAATTTACAAGGGGCATAACTAATATTAATAAACCGCCTCTGTAGCCAAATGGTTAAACGTATTGCGTTGAGCGCGAAGTTAAAAATCATTTTCAAATAAGTTTAACTAATATATCGCGTTTTAAGCCGTTAAAGTGTTTTATTTAAATGTATGTAATATTGGTAAATTCTAAGCTAGTGTTTTCAACCGTTTGGTGTCCACTAGAGGTCACCATCCACTGAAGATTTCTAGAAGATCCAATCGCTTGTTACTGGAGTCCATTGTTATTCAGCTCTCTCGATCAGGTCGTTTGTCTACGTGGTAGGTGACCATGCAGGTTTTCAGGCGTCATTAATGGCTGAAACACTATAAGTGTTATATATATATTATGTTCTTATATTTACTGATTACCAGACGAATCGGATGATTTATTCCACATGCACAAAAATACAATAAAATAAATAACAGATAGATTTATGTGGAGGGGCACCACCCAGCTTTTGTTGTGCCTGGAAGGCCCAACGCCGATTTTCAGTTATTCCCTACGTTTGACATTTGAAGTACATGACATAAGTTCAGATAAACAAAATGTTAACATAAAAATAAATTACATATATTTAATAATGCACATCCAATAACAATAACATGATATAGATAAAATGTACACAAAATCACCCGGAGTGACATGCCATTTCAATCACTTTTAATTACCCGTTTATTAAAATACTCATTAAACAAACAAATTGCCACTAAAATTGTTCATAGTTAAACATAGCCTGTTTATAATAGGTAAGTGGGTGGTAATGTTGTTTTAATAACTATTGGTGCTATAAAATCAAGTTTAACGCGGGATTATCTCAACGCGATATTGTTTTGTGTTATGCGATACGTTACTTTAAATTGTTGTAGTAAGCAAGGAAAGATAAATATAACATTAACCCGTCCTAAATATGGGATTGTGCATGTGAAATGATTAAGGTAATTCAAAACACCTTTAACGGTTTAAAACGCCAAATATATTAGGTGGTTAACTTATTTTTAATTTATCTTAATTGTGGTCACGAGGGACAGTGAGTAGAACTTAAAAAAACCTTTTTAATGCAATAAAAGGTAAATTATCTTTAACAACGACCCGACGTTTTAGATCATTTTCAATATTCATATTATATATTCTCTCGTAGACTCGTCGGGTCATCGTTAAGAGTTATATTTTGTTAACTAATATTTCGTTCTAGGCCGTTAAAGGGGATTTTTATATTGAGAAGTATATGTTTTTGATGTCGCAAAAACTGCTCAAGTTAATTAATTGCACTTCGTTTTCTGTGCCATTTATTCAAATATTTGTAGATTCGCCTAGTCAGGTCTTGGTTGGCATAGTCAAAGATACGGTCGTATTTTTTAATACTTTTGATTCAATATCATTCAGATCAAAATAATAGTAGTGAATTCTCTATAGATAAAATTCACTTACAGTGGGTAGTTTTAAAATAAGGGGCCTCTGATTGTTGATATTATGGAAGTTTGTCAAGACGACACTTTGAAACTCAGTCGATTATATAGTGAAGTACGTCAACAGTATATATATTTTAATATTATAAAGCTAACGTTTGCTTGTTTAAGGCAGTTTGTTTGTTCTTACATAAATGGTCCATCCAACAAACTAATTATCAAAAAAGGCTTAATGCTGTATAAAATCATGCTGCAACCAATAACCAATTCATCTTTGAGGGCTTCCGATGCGTGAGCTGCGAAAACGGTTTAAGTAATCAAAAAAATTTTAACAAAGAACAATTCCTCTTTAATTATCCAAATTAATTGTACGTCGTAATTAAATCTTGTTACCAACGAAACAACGTTCGCTGGATCAGCTAGTAACTATAAAAGTAAAATCAGTTGCGAACACTGCTATACTATTTCTCCCAAACGGACAGCGGCTCTTAGTCTATTGTGAATATATCAAGCTTATCATAGATGGTTTGCTGAGTGGAGATGCATATCTTTGCGCTTGTCGATTTCAGCATTCGCCTCTGGAGTGGATCTGCAGAGGGCATTATATGGCACGATAGAGCTGAAATATTACTTGAAAACCTAAGCACGACGGGCAAGTGCCGCTTGGGTCGGAGGTGTAAGCGGTATTGTTATTTAACATGTATAATAAGTACATGAGCTATCACATTGTGCCTTATTATCTATAGTAATAATTTAAAACTTAGGCGTTCGTTTGTTGTATGGACGTGTAATCTCAGAAACTAAGGAACGAGGTTTTGAATGGATCATTTGTCGAGGAAAGCTGTCGGTTAACATATGGCGCGCATTAAAAATGTAGAAAAAACGGTGCTAAAACGGTTTAAGAACCAAAAAATATGTATGAAAGAATAATTCTTCTTTAAATTATCTAAAATAAATAATTTGATGTCCAAACTAAGTATTGTATGCAAAGACGTGGGTATAGCTAG